TAAGATGGTCATGTGAGACAGTATCAAAAGCTTTACTAAAGTCAAGATATACCACGTTTACCACTTCCCACCAACCACAAGGCTTGTTACCCTGTCAAAGAAAGCTATCAGGTTGGTTTGACATCATTTGTTCTTGACAAATCCATGCTGACTGTTACTTATCAGTACCAAGAAAGATAATAAGGTGAAGTTAAGCTGACTGGTCTGTAATTCCCTGGGTTGTCCTTATTTCCCTTTTTATAGATGGGCACTACATTACCCTTTTCTAGTCCTCTGGAATCAATCCTGTCTTCCATGACTTTTCAAAGATAGTTTCTAATGGCTCAGCTATCTCCTCAGTCAGCTCCTTGGGTATGCTAGGATGCATTTCATCAGGCCATGGTGACTTGAAGACATCCAACGTGTCTAAATAATTTTTAACTTGTTCTTTCCCGATTTTAGCCTTTAGTTTTTTGATGGAGGAGCTGGAGCTGGGGACTCGTGCTCTCCTCTGCAGCAGGCTCACCCTCTGCTCTGCCCTCAGAGCCTATGGATGGGCAGGCAAGGACTCTGCCTCCTGCAAACCCACCTGCCAAACCGGTGGTAATGCAGCCTGAGACTGCAATGGCAGGTGCCGCCTCCCTCTGCTGCTGATCAGCCCAACAATTGATGGGCAATGCGGGACTAGGTTTAAAAATGGGGGCCAGGTGCGGGATGTCCTGCGAAATATGGGAGGCAGGAATGTTATGCCACCATTTGCCTGTCTTGTTGGTATAGATTGTAAGACCTTGGGGCAGACGCAGTTTCTTATTATGTTTATGTTTCAGTGCCTAGCTCAATGAAACTGCAATATCCTTGGGGACTTCTGGGCACACTATTGTAATGCAAATAACAATAAGCCATTACTAAGCCTATGTGTCGATTTCCAATGCTCTAAGGAAAGATGGTAGTGTCAGCACCTTGTTTGCTCATACCTCAAGTAAGCAGACACGGCCCCTGAAGCAGATAACTTTCTAGAAGCGAGAAATATCAAGGGTAGGAATGGGGTATGGAGAGGATTAAAATTGTGGAAGCAAACACTTGCCCTTGTTGAATTCTTATGAACGATCTTTGTTAGCTAAATCTAAGCATCATTACACTGTGCTAATGAGACAGAGGCACTTATTTTCATTTGGAAAATAATTGGTATTACTGATTTCTTCATTTGTGGTTTTAAAGCCCACTCATTCCAGTGAGGTGATTGGCAAAAGTTACATTTTCCCTGAAGTATATTTGGCTCAGAGTTGAGATTCATAGGTAGGTTGGAAACGTTTTTAAGAGTGTAACTCTCCTCCCGGCAATAACTGCTGATAAACTCCTGTAAGCAAACGTGTTGTACATCTCACCAGGGCCCAACAAGGCACCTCTCCCTGCCCATTTAGTGAAGACTTGGGAAGATTCTGCTGTATAAAGTATTAGTGAGACCATTAGTGGAATACTGTTCTTGTGCCCACACTTCAAAAAGGGTGTTGAAAAATTGGAAAGAGCGCCTTGCTGAGCCACAAGAACAATTCAGTGTCTGGATTTCTCTTACAGTGAGAAATTAGAGCAGCTCAGTCTATTTAGTGTAACAAAAAGAGGGCAAAGAGGTGACTTGGTCTATAAGTACCTACACTGTGAGAAGATTTCTGACCACACAGGGTTCTTTAATCTAGCAGACTCCAGAACAAAACAAAATCCAATGGTGGAAACTCAAGCTAGATACATTCAGACTAGAACTAAGGGGCAACTTTTTAAGCGATGGTAACTAATAATTGGAACAATTTACCTAGGGATATAATCAATATTCTCTGACTTAAGTCTATTAAGATTTGATGTCTTTCTAAAAGATATGCTCCAGCTCAATCATAAGTTATGGGTTTGGTACAGGAATTATGAATGAATTGTATAGCCTGTGTTATGCAAGAAGTCAGACTAGATGATCATAATTGTCCCTTCTGGCCTTAAAAATATGTGAATGTATAAACTGAGCCGTCTCTTGAGCTCGGGGCTTGGAATCAGAGGTTGTTGCTGCCCTCTGCAGAGTGAGGGGATAGGCAGTGGATTAGGTCCATCTCCATAGTGACACATAGTCCGTCTTCCTAAACCAATTTCTCCTGCTCCACCATGGCAGGCCAGCTAAGAAATGGAAAACATTCTTGTGACTCTTCTTACTTCTCCAATCTAAATTACACTGGGTGCTTCTTTTTATAATATCCCTGCATGCACCGTTTTGTTATGTGATCCCTTGAAGTCTCATTTGCTACAAAAAGATGGGCCAGATCAATCCTGGCAACACCTTGGCCTTGCAGGAAAGGGTGTTATGGATTCAAAAGTTGGCACTTCCTTAGTGATTCAGTACTGAACCAATGCCACAGCAGGGGTTGGGCGAGTACTGTGCTGCTGGAGCTAACTTTGGAATCAGAGGTTGAATGGAGGCTCTGACGACTTAGGGTGATGACCAAAGCTATGAAGAGCCATGAGATCTTTCAAAGTTAAAATCAGGTGATTACTCTGCCTTCTTAAATCTAATTTTCTATTATTATTTTTTTTGCCCCTTATACCCTCCCCAGATTAATTATTGGATTCTGTTACTGTGAGCTGTCATACAGCTATTCTCAACACCACATTAGTGTTTGTTCAGGTTTCAGCCCACTGTGAAAGGGAAAAGGGCCAGAAACGGATTAGAAACCATAATGAAACTGACTAGTCTCTTTTCATCATCTGCGCCAAGAAAAATAGAAATCCGCATAAAGAAGGAAAATATAATTTTGGAAGTTTTCTCTCTCGAAGTGTTACTGATAAGACTGGTAAAAGAATCTGTTTTATAACCATTTAACCTCTAAGCAAAAGGTCATTTTTTTCCAATTTCAGTTATTCACACTACCCAGCATGCCATTTGGCAATGCTTGGCTTCCAGTTGGTTTCTGTTTTCTTAGCAATTGCAGTTGCTCTCCAAAATGATTTTATCTGAGCACTGTTCAAATTTACAAAATCGCTCAAATCCCCTAATGTTAGATTTCTGGGCTTGCTGGAACTGTCACTATCTGGGATCATTTTCATTCTGTTTTCAATGTCTTCTGAACACGAATACATGTTAGGACATAAACAAAGCTGTGAAATCAATCCCATTTCCTTCCCTGCTATTCTAGCACTTAACATTCTATTTATTCAAGCTTTCTTCAATTTGACTTGTGCCCAGTAAGTACTAAAAATGATCTGCAGCTGTACAAGTTTCCACCCTAGCTTCTGAGCGGATTTACTTTAACGTTCTTATTGTTTGTCTCAACCATTACTGTTCATGTGGTTTCCTACATCCCTTCTCCAAGCTCTTTAGACTTTGCGTAATAATAAATATTAATACATGTGTGTGTTTGTGTGTGTGTGTGTGTTTGTGTGTATGGATGTCAAGTTCTGTACTTAATAAAATCAAACTAAAGACTCAGTATCTTAAGAATGTTTTCAAGATTTAAGAATTGGTCTGTTGGGAAATTTTTTCTACATAGGGTGGGATTTTCAGAAGCACTCACCAGTGGCATAACTTTGCTCCTATTGACATAAATGGGAATTAAATTTATTATAATTTACCTCCTCGTTCCTGTATGTTTTAGGCCGATGCTTACAGGATCAGTCTCAGAAATATGGTAACGCTGGTAGTAAGGAATCAACGAACCTGTCCTATCCACACATACTGCAGGGTGTGGAAGAAGTGGAATATCTTTGCATCTTTGAATCCTCTTTGTTGAGACTGTATGTGCACATATGCATGTAGTGGTGGCATAACTGTAGGATATTGGAGAAACAAGGTGAATGAGATTGTTTTATCTGAAGTCGGTCCAATAAAAGATGCTACCTTGTGTCTCAGGGCAAATATGTAGCAGTTCAGATTCAGTGCTGAGACAATCAGCCATTTCTGGCTAATGTTCATTTATACAAGAGCAAGAAATCTGAAATGGACCATCTGTTTCATGAAAGTTAACACACACTTAAAACAAGGGCAAGGAAGAGACTTGCTATTAGCATAGGCTCTGTGCTGGAAACTAAGGGCTAGAGCAGGGGTAGGCAACCTATGGCACTCGTGCCGAAGGCGACACGGGAGCTAATTTTCAGCGGCACTCACACTGCCCAGGTCCTGGCCTCCAGTCTGGGGGGCTCGGCATTTTAATTTAATTTTAAATGAAGCTTCTTAAACATTTTAAAAACCTTATTTACTTTACATACAACAATAGTTTAGTTGTATATTATAGACTTATAGAAAGAGACCTTCTAAAAACATTAAACTGTATTACTGGCACGCGAAACCTTAAATTAGAGTGAATAAATGAAGATTCGGCACACCACTTCTGAAAGGTTGCCGACCCCTGGGCTAGAGCCACAAAGGGTGCCACTTTAGGCACTTCAGATCCCCCAAATACCTGCTCAGATCCTGCCTAACCCTGTAGGTGCCTAAATTCCCTAGATGCCACCCATAAAGTCCCATGGCCCTTCAAAAATCTGCCAGTGAGCATGTGCACAGCTTCCTAAATCCTGTGCCCATCTCATGCCTAAGCCCTGGTGGGATCCTCAGTCTAGGCCACAAGCTTGTCTTGCTTGTGGGGCACCATCTGGTAATCCATTTCAGATGCTGCCTAACAGATCAGGTCGTGCACAAACACAGCCAGAGGGGGATGTGGTGTTACTTCCCCACCTTTATATTTTTAGCCCAGTGATAGGCACTTACCCAGGATGTAGGAGATGCAGGCAATGGGATATTCTAGGGTGGGACGCTCTCAACCTACCTGGGGAACAAATATTCAATAATGGCTTTTTCAATCTAGCAGCCAAGGGTGTAACATGATCTAACAGCTGGAAGTTGAAGCAAGACCCATTCAGACTGGAAACAAGGTGTACATTCTTAATGGTGAGTAATTAACCATTGGAACAATTTATCAAGGGTCATGGTGGATTCTCACCATCGCTGGCAATTTTAAAATCAATATTGGATGTTATTCTAAAAGATCTGCTCTAGGACTTATTTTGGGAAGTTCTGCGGCCTGGGCTATACAGGTCAGACTAGATGTCACAATGGTCCCTTCTGGCCTTTGAATCTATGAACTTTCCTGTTCCACTTCTGATAGATAAATATGGATTGGGCCAGAGATTGAGAATAAGTCTATAGCAGTGGTCGCCAACCTTTTCAGTGTGGCGGGTGCTGGATGACGAGCCACCGAGGACTGTGGCCAGCAGAGAAGGCATCCGCCGAAATGCCGCTGAGAAGTGGCAAAGTCAAGAGGTGTTGCTGCCGAGAAGCAGCGTCATTAAGAGGCGTTGCCGCTGAAATGCTGCCAAGATCAGCGGCATTTCGGCGGATGCTTCTCCGCCGGCCAGTACACGGGCGTACATAGATGCTCTGGTGGGCGCCATGGCACTTGCAGGCACCACGTTGGGGGCCACTAGTCTATAGCATGGCAGTTAGAATACACAGCTGGGGGTAGGAGATCCAAGCTCATACTCCTGTTTTGATTACTTCGAATGTTTATACACACATCCTAGCAGGGGCCCCTTTAATGACATACATCAGGAAATGTGTTTAATTATAGGATTTGCCTGTAGATCTAGAGATCCTGTGTAAACTGGAGTCTTTGCAGTCTGAATACACCTGCCTGCTGTTCAGGTTTTGTTACCACTGTAACAAAATCTAAATGATACAAAGAAACTTATCTGGGAGTTCCTTCCTCAATGAACAAAGCAGATCTGTCTTCAACTTTTGTGCTCGCTGTTAGTGGCACGGCTCTCAAACTAGGGGACTGTTGTTAGTAAGGGTTGCTGTGCTGGCAAAAGTAGCATCCAAAGTTCCTGAGGTGAGAGCAGCACAGGGGAGTCCCTTTCTTCTGGGTCTGGTCTCTTTCTTCTGGAGAGCTGTGGCAATGTCAGATGGTCCATTTGAGGCAAACTCTCCGTACAACTAATGGACAGAAATGATAATTGTTCTGTGCTAATGAGTAAAAAAAAAATTGTATTATGAACTTCAGAAATTTTTTTTTCTAACCAACTTGTTTGCCAGAAAGCAGCCGGGCCTCTGAACAAGGCTAACTTACCACCCTTAGTGTGTGCTATGCTGTGCTGTACCAGTGCTGTGTTCTGATTTCCCCCCGCCCTTTCCCATGGCGCAGTGAATAACATTCTCAACCAGATGCCGCTCTCTTAGAGCAAAATTCGATCTTTTGTGAAGGTGAGATGCATATGGGAAGAGAGCAGAAGGCAGCCAATCGGCAGGTCCCTGAAGCATCCTGCTTCTTGAGGAGAATTAGTGAGTAATTTAAGGAAAGAGAATGAGAAGTTAAAAGGAGTTTTGTACAAATAAACACTGAAGAGTTTGAAGGGAATTAAATAGTTGGGGGTTGTAAAAATACTAAAAAGTGTAAGTGCTAAAGAGAATGCTAGAAGTGTGTTGTTTTTTTTCCCCCCCTCTTCTCTTTAGAGTGCTTTGTTTATAACCCAATGATGGCAGTATAATTTAGTTCAGTGACACCTGGTAAAACCCTTAGTAAAAAAAAAATTGTACACAGGGGAGGTCAGGTGGTGGTAACTACCACCCCTAGATGCTTTCCCCCCCAAGAAGCTGTACAGCTTTTCTGAAGGGAATGAGCCCTTCCCAATTAAAATGTCTACAACCACCATTGCGCTGGCTGCTGCAGGCACAGTGATAATGTGATTTAAATTATTGGACTGTGCATAATTTAGTCAAAAATGTAAATGGGGATTTCTATCTAACTTGAATGCTCCCGAATGTGCTAGTGGGAATATATACTGGGTATAGCGGTGTTTAAAACATGTTCAGAGCAGTGCACGAGGTGTTGGTCAGTTCAAGCAACAGATAATTTAAAAATAGGGGAGGGCACCGAATAAGTTGGGGGGGGGGAGGGAGAAGAGAGGGAAACCTAAAGTGTAACAAGCAGCTTATTAAAGCTTTCACTAGCTAAGAACCCAAAGGAGGAGAAGGGAGGACAAAGAGCAATAAACCAAAACCTTGCTAAAATACAGCACTTCTCAAAGACCAGGTCAAAAAACTTACCTTGCCTATTTTTATTTCAAAAAAGTGCTAGTGGGTTATTGGAGTCTAGCAACAGTGAGCCAGGACAGTTCCCCTACTGGTCTGCTCTGCCTCTAAATTATAGCTGGTCAGAGGTTATTCATAATTCCTTAAAATGTTGTGCTAGTGGCCAGTTGGCACAGATTCAAATGTGGTTAGTTTCTGAGAAAGAACACAGACCAGTGCCTTTATTGGGCACTTCCTTGCCAGTTAAGGCAAAAGAGAAATTATACAGCACCATCTAGTGGAACAACATAGCTTTCTCTCCCTGACCCCGGGAAAGCAACAGCAAGAGATTCTACAGGTGTAACTAAAAAGGACTCCAGTTATTTTAATTGACTCACCGTACAGGAATATTTTACTCCATCTATTAAAAAGTTTGCATATGATAGGATTGGGAGTAGCTTTATGTATCAGGCCAGGAAATACCTCAGTGAGATTTTCAGCCTTCAGAGTGAGCATCCAAATTTCTACAGCTCCTTTGCAATGTAAGCAGCTGGTGCTGGAGTGGAAATGGAGACTTGGTACTCATCTTGTATGTGTATCATCTTTTAGTAGGTAATAAGTTTCTTGATCTCACCAGCAATTAAAAATAACCCCAATTCCCAGCTACTGAGCACCATAGCTCTTGCCCTGTGCTTACAGAAAAAGTGACCAGATGTAGCGTGTTGGACATCCCTGGGCATGTTGAGCAATTAGCTTTTCAAAGCTACATTAGGAGAAACGCTACCAATTCCACATTAAATATTAATCTTAGCTCTATGTATGTGACTTCTGATAAACTTTAATTGCATGATCATATGGCTTTTAGCTAATCTTCTAATACAAAGTGCCTCCCAGACAAACCACCCAACTGGTCTCCATTTCTTCTATATGCAAAATGGGACTAGTATATTGCATTTATCTAGTGCTTCAGCTGTAGAGCTCAATGTGCATTACAAATTACAAAAAAAATAAATGTATTAGCTCCAATTACCCATGGAGTAACTACTCAGATACAGTCCTTTTGTGGATCCAGCTCCTATAGACTAGTTTGCTTAGTTTTTTTTAAGTCATGAATGGTGCTGTGTCCTACTGTAAAGGCACAGAAGGGAAGAACTGCAGGGATGTTCAAGTTTTCTGATCTCCCCCCAGTTTCACCCTTTGTACATATGAGTGGGGATAAGGAAAAATGTTAACTACAGCATTTCAGACAGTGTGGGAGGAGCCTCAACTTCAGTGCAAGGAGATGGAATGGGCAGTACTGCAAGTGTGCAGTAATCTTCACTACCAAAGTGGAGGAGACAGGGCAAGGTATGTCAGTTTAAGGCTTTACTTGCATCAGCTTGACAAAGGTGGCTTCCATTTGAAAGAATTTTTCCTTGATATTTTAAAAAAATTTTGTGAGCAGATACAGTGATTAGCTCATCACAAAGGGAACTATAAGCACAAGAGCTGAGATCCCAGTTCCTGCTGCAAAAGTGTGTTTGGGTGCACTTTAACACAAAAATCCACCTGGCTTGCAACCACTAAAACCCCTTCAATGCAAACTGGCAAAGGGTTTACTCTGTTGTAACAGCAACTCTTAGCAGGCCAGACAAACTCACTACACTTAGCACACTGCTTACGTGATATTGTTTATGGATAAATACTACAAAAGTCTCTAATAAAAGGTTGTCATAATGATCCTTCAGCAGGGCTCAGGGTGCATGTATTTTTTAACCTGCACTGCTAAGCGAGTTGGCATAGGTCTGAGAAGATTGTTGAGGTGGTTATGGCAGGGAGCTGGCACCCAGTTAAGCATCAGCAAGTCTTCTCTTGCTGGTGGTTGGGAAGGGTGTGATAAGGTGATTTTCAGTCCTGGGCTGCCTGATTAGATCAGACAGAGTTTCAATGCATCCTGCTCAAGTGCAAATCAGGCAAAAATATTCCCCCCGAGGCACTAAGATTGAGAACCACCTTTGAGCAATACGAATATAATACTTGTAGAAAAATGAAACTGATACACTTCATGTATGTGAAGATGCAGCTCTTGCACAATGACAAGGAGAGATTTGCACTTCAACAGTAGATGAAGCAACCCTGCTACGTTTTGTAAAGCACTTTATTGATGTAACAGAGTCAAAACAAGCCCCTTCATCCTGAGAAGCAACTGAAATGCAAGTCTGTGCCACAAAGATCATTCTGAGATGAGACTTACCAGTGCTAAATGCATCACTAGTACTAGGTCATGCCTCCCATCCTTTTGTGTGACAAAGAAACCCTACTTTCTCTAGGGTAGAGAAAAAACAAGACACTGAAAAGTGAACAGAAAGTTGTCACGTCTTACACACTGAACAAAAATATTGTGCTATTTTGGTCTCAGAATAAAATTCCAGGACTTTATTGCTGTATGTATGTTTTCCTCTGTGTAACTTATCTTACAATAGTCAAAGTGCCACCTTCTGGTTTTAAAACTGTGCAACATTTAACATTCATTTTCTTCCAAAGACCATTATACAGTGGGGGCGTAAAGCAATCCAGCAGCAGTTACAAAATGTTGCCCGACTATTTTTTCTTAAAAGTTTAAGATAAAGATCTGCATACAAGCTAAATGAAAAGATGCTCAATTGATAGATCATTCAGTAACTTTAATAAAACATTTTTAGTTGGAAGTTTTGTAATGCTAAAATTTACAACTAAAACAAAAGTAAACACTCCTCCCTATCCCCCCTCCCCCCACTGTAGCCACAAGGTTTCTATACTTGAAAAGAACAAGAAATATGGTATGTAATTGTCTCACAAACCTGCTTCATTTCTAACAGAAGCAAAAGTTGTGGAGGCTGTCAGCCTGTTAAACCTGCAAGTTGGGCAGTGGAAGTCTATTTTACTACCATGATGCTTCTTTTTGGTTGTTTTAAATACCAAGCCTTTTTCTTCCCCTCCCATTCAACACACAGTATAAATCCCATTTCCTTATATTTATTTATCCTCAGTATTATTTACAGGACTCCTACGGATAAAGTACAAACTAATATGAAATTAATGGTAGTTTGCATCTTCAAATATGCATCCCGTGGCTAAATTTACCAAGACACTCCAACAGAATGATTTGAAGTTATGATGATTCTGAAGTATGTACAGCTGTGACTGCGGATGTTTTTTCATTTACTGTAGTAGATTCATTTGATCTGTCATCAACAGGAGTTGCCTTAGAAGTAGGGATAGCAGTATCCAAGGTGAGTGCAGAGGTTTGTTCTACACTTACAGTAGTGCTATGGGGAAGCAGATCTGCAGGTGGAGCAGATACCTCTGGGACCAAAGGAAATTGTGCAAGAAACTCAGGTGGCATTGAGAGAGGTGTTATTCCAGATAGATTTAGAGGTGGCAAGGAAGGAAGCGGTGGCAAACCTAGAAATTAAAAAAAAAAAAGGCAGCAAATCACACACCACTCTACTTCTACTTTTTGAAGTTTTCCCCAGGATGCCATGTGATCAGTTTGATCTACACTAGAACTATGAGTCTGCCAAGTCTCTTGGTATCTGTTTGTTCCCCTAGCCACTATGGGATTTCTTCTGCTCCTATTGAGTTCAATAGGGATATGATCAGGACTTTTGAGCAGCAATAACTCAAATAGCTATTTTTAAAGCCAAACAATCCTCCTCAACTATATCATCAAGCATTCCTTAAAGGTTAACAATAATGGAACTTGCGTTGGCCTGCTGACATGTACAAGAGGCAACTACCAGCCTCGAGACAATGCTTTTAATGTACTTATTTGTACTACTGCCTGGATTTTTCCGGCACATCCTGAAACTGCCAATGCCCATGGAAGCCTTGTTCCACTTTTTGCTTGCTCAACGTGTATTTTTCAGTAGTTGTATTTAGTACCATAAATTTAGTATTTGACACTTATTCTAACTTCTCAATCTTCTTGGCTGGCACACAGAAAATATCAACTGTGCATTTCACTAAACCTGCCCCAAAAGCGATATACTTCCTCTAATTTTTAACACAAAGGAACATCTTTTGAAAATCTTTATGAAGCCCTAAATCTGATGGGGGTAATAAGGAAACAACATAAACCTAAGGCATAGAGGACTAGATAGGATTATTTTGAGACACATTCCTTGACTGACCAGAAGAGGTCACCAATGAGAGCACCATTTCACTCCAGCTCTGGCAACAGACTCAACCATCCCCTGCATTACTGACCCATAGAGCACAACTTGGAATTAGTAATGAATGGAAATAGTGTGGTCTAAGGTCTTCAGAAACCAGTTACTGTAATATTTACATTTGTAAACATACCAGGATGTATGATATCTGATAATCCAGCACCAGGAATGATGGGTGGTGCAGGTAAATTCAGACTGGATAGACTGGTCAGGTTAGGAAGTCCAGTTGGTAATGACATCAGACCTAAAAAAACAAATACGAAAGATACAAACCTCAATTTCAAGAGCTACACGTAGCCAATTGAAAAACTGTTCCAGACAGAACTTGCATATCACTGGCTCACACTGTACTTCCAGTTGGTGGTTCTTTTTACAAATGGGAAAGTGAATAAGCCTCTCAAAATCCTGTGATGAAAGGGATTCACCTAGATGCTGTAGTAGCAAGATTTAGGGCTAGAAAAATCCCACTTCCCAGCTAATTCTATTTTTACTATCGTAGTAATAAAGCATCTTCCATAGGATAATGGAAAAGAAAGGGAAAGATTTTTTTTTTAAGTGACAAATAAAAAAAGGAAAATCAAGGCTAAAACAAAAACAAGTGGAAGTGTTAGAGGAGGGCTTTAAATTAGGTTCGACGGGGACAGGTGAGCAAAGCCCACAGGTAAGTGGGGAATATGGAGACCTGGGAGATGGGTCGGAAACAAGAGGAAGCGTGGGCCATAATGGCAGAGAGAAAGGAGGGTCAGGGCAAAACTGGGAGGCAAGATCAAACCAGTATCTTAGATGCCTATATACAAATGTGAGAAGTATGGGTAATAAGCAGGAAGAACTGGAAGTGCTAATAAATAAATACAACTATGACATTGTTGGCATCACTGAAACTTGGTGGGATAATACACAGGATTGGAATGTTGGTGTGGATGGGTACAGCTTGCTCAGGAAGGATAGACAGGGGAAAAAGGGAGGAGGTGTTGCCTTATATATTAAAAATGTACACACTTGGATTGAGGTGGAAATGGACCTAGGAGACGGAAGTGTTGAGAGTCTCGGGGTTAGGCTAAAGGGGGTAAAAAACAAGGGTGATGTCATGCTAGGAGTCTACTACAGGTCACCTAACCAGGTGGAAGAGGTGGATGAGGCTTTTTTTAAACAACTAACAAAATCATCCAAAGCCCAAGATTTGGTGGTGATGGGGGACTTCAACTATCCAAATATATGTTGGGAAAATAACACAGCGGGGCACAGACTATACAACAAATTCTTGGACTGAATTGCAGACAACTTTTTATTTCAGAAGGTTGAAAAAGCTACTAGGGGGAAGCTGTTCTAGACTTGATTGTAACAAATAGGGAGGAACTCATTGAGAATCTGAAAGTAGAAGGCAGCTTCAGTGAAAGTGATCATGAAATCAGAGTTTGCAATTCTAAGGAAGGGTAGAAGGGAGTACAGCAAAATAAAGACAATGGATTTCAGGAAGGCGGATTTTGGTAAGCTCAGAGATCTGATAGGTTCCCATGGAACTCAAGACTGAGGGGAAAAACAACTGAGGAGAGTTGGCAGTTTTTCAAAGGGACACTATTAAGGGCCCAAAAGCAAGCTATACCGCTGGTTAGGAAAGATAGAAAATGTGGCAAAAGAGCACCTTGGCTTAACCACGAGATCTTGCATGATCTAAAAAATAAAAAGGAGTCCTATAAAAAATGGAAACTAGGACAGATTACAAAGGATG